AGTAGTAGTAGTAGTAGTGGTAGTAGTAGTGGTAGTAGTAGTAGTAGTAGGAGGAGTAGGTTAGTAAGGAGGAGGAGGCTCCGGGTACGTTCGTGACGCTACATTTTTGTGGCATTGGAAGGGCCGAAATGCTGTAAATACCAGCACTCGTGGGATTTAGATGGTGCCAGTTCACTTGCGTCTCAATTTGGCTTATTTTGCTTTAACATGTATTGAGCATGCAAACGTTTGCGCTCCAGTTAGAGGCCGGGATGAAACGATCCCGAAAGAAACATGTGTTTAGGAGCGGTCCCTTTGCCCCTAATCAAAAAATCCAACATAAGAAGAAAGACGTCTAAAGGAGCGGTCCCCTATGCCCCTTACGACAAACCCAACATAAGAAGAAACATGTGTTTAGGAGCGGTCCCTTTGCCCCTTATGAAAAACATCCAGCATAACAAGAAATACGTCTATGGGAGCGGTCCCCTATGCCCCTTACGACAAACCCAACATAAGAAGAAACATGTGTTTAGGAGCGGTCGCTTTGCTCCTTATGAAAAAATCCAGCATAACAAGAAATACGTCTATAGGAGCGGTCCCCTATGCCCCTTATGACAAATCCAATATCAGAAGAAACATGTGTTTGATCAGAACTCCTCACACCCTTGGACTAATGGGGCGATGATAAAATTAAATCAGAACTCCTCACACCCTTGGACTAATGGGGCGTACCCTGGACTAATGGGGGAATGTTAAAATTAAATCAGAACTCCTCACATCCTTGAACTAATGGGGCATACCCTGGACTAATGGGGCGATGATAAAAGTAAATCAGAAATCCTCACACCCTTGGACTGATGGGGCGTACCCTGGACTAATGGGGCGATGAACAATGAGAAGAAAGGTCCCGGGAAGCCTACTTGAAAAAACGTGTTTTTCTGCAGAAGGCACCAAAATAGGCACGAACGCACTAAAAAACGCGCGAACAACTTAGAGCAACAATCATAATGAAGTGGATCCGCAAATCGAGACGCAAGCGGACTTTAGTCAAAATTCGCGCGAAACCTCAGTTTCAGTTGGGCGAAGTGGAGAGAATGACACCGTCACAAACGCGACCGTTACTTAGTAGTAGTAGTAGTAGCAGCAGTAGTAGTAGTACCTAGTAGTATGTTGTAGCCTAGGAGTCTAGGATGGTCAACTTTAAAGACCCTGAGTGGGTATAGTCCCCCTTACGTAGCTAGAATATGGGGTATATGGGGAGCTTATTGTAACATACCCAAGGCCATATTCTATCTACTTGAGGGGGACTATACACCCTAAACCCTAAATAGTAGTTTCCAAAAAACATAGTAGTTTCCATTTTCTTTTCCGTTATCCCTATATAACCCCAATACAACCCTAATATTCTATCCACTCAAGGGCACTATAACCCCAAGCTTAAAGGACTAGATCCAAGGATCTAAACCCTAAATCCTAAACCCTAAATCCTAAACCCTAAATCCTAAACCCTAAATTCTAAACCCTAAACCCTAGATCCAAGGATCACCATTTCCGCGCGGACTTTACGGGGCCAGTGGCTTCTGTTTCTCCTCCTCTTCGTCATCTTCCTGGCAGCACAGCTTTGGGTCGCCGGACTTGGGCTTAAGGGTTTAGGGTTTAGGGTAAAGGGTAAAGGGTTAAAGGGTTTAGGGTTTAGGGTTCAGGATTTAGGGCTTAGGGTGCATTTGTGGAGCGAGGCAGTCGATAGATTCTCCATCTTGCAAAGGTTGGTGTGTGTGTGTGTGTGTGTGTGTGTGTGTCCACTTGTGGCGCAGCAGCTAGTTCCGCTGACCGGCAGGCAGGAGTCAGGGCGTCCTCTAGAGTCCCTTCCCAAAAAGGGTTTAGAGTTTGGCCTGTAGGGGCCTCTTAAAGGGATTATATAGGGACATATAAGGTCTAGGGCATGGAGAATTAAACGGAAAGGAAATGGTAAGTGACGTTGAATTGGGGGATGGTTGCATAGGGATGATTACCGATATTATGGTCCTAGGCTCCTCAAATAGTTAATACCTGGGGAAGGTTTCCTTTTTGGGCAGATCGTGCAGGAAATGGTAGTGGTCGAAATCCCTGTTGCCCAAATGGCCATGACGGAACATGAGCTCCCGCATATTTTCCTTTTAGGATCCCCAAATGACTTCCACAAAGGACCGCAGGTCCAAATCTTGTACACCTTTTCTTGTCTTTCTATGAACGCTTGTTTTCACGTCAAGCATGAGGGCCTCGGATTTCCATTTGAATGCAGAGTCGAGAGTATGCTGTTGGGCCCCAATATTATTGTCACCAACATACTGTATACTGTAATCCAGAAGGGCCGCTAGTTTTTGTTTGGGAACTACCAACTAGAGATCTGCTGCAGTTAAACCAATGTAAATAGCCCTCCATGTCGCCCACAGGCCAGCTTAGGGTTTCGGGGCCTGAGGAAGTGCCTATAAACACGGAAGAGAACATGGAACATACACTGGAGACCGGGTGTTAGGGGCTGGGGTTATTTGGTAACTTCAACCGGGAACCCGGATTTTTAGGAAACTTTCATGTGACGACCTGAGGTAACGTTCAGAGCGTACCGTGGCCTCACCAGCAAGGCTTTTGAGCTGGAATCCTCATCCCCTAAACCCTTAGGCCCTAAACCCTAAGCCCGGCTGGAATCCTCATCCTCATGTTTGGGCTCTAGGCTAAACTCTATACTCTTGTATAGTAAAGTAGCTTCCATTTTCCTTTCCATTGTCCCAATATAAACCCAATAAATATATCCTATTATAGTATAGTAGCTTCCATTTTCTTTCCATCATCCCAATATAACTCCAATGTACACCCTATTGTAATATAGTAGCTTCCATTTTCTTTTCCATTATCCCAATATAACCCCAATATATACCCTATTATGTTATATATTAGCTTCCGTTTTCCATCGTCCAAATATAACCCCAAGATCTACCCTAATGTAAAGCCAGGAGTTGAGGGTTCAGAGTAGGTTGGCGCCCAGTTTTTAGGGTTTAGGGTTATTTTTCTGGCATCAAGCAGTTGGCCCAGTAGGCTTTGACTACTCGAGGGATTCTAAACAAGCTGGAGGTCATTAACTTGAAGCCTCAAGCCCGAAACTGCTGGCGGGGGACACCTACACAAGTCATGCAGGTTTGAGAAGCGATAATAGTTGGGCGCCAATCTGGTAGGTGAAATGTGACTGATGTAGGGATGGGAGGAGTTTGGGTGGTGCAGTGCTATACCCGTTTTCGGATCTTTGCCTGAAGAGCTGGCTGCACAGGGATTGGAGTAGGTTAGGCCCTCACCCCTTTAACAGTGGAAGAGTAGGAATATGTAACGACCCGAATATGGTTACCATTATTGCAAGGGGTCCAAACTAAGGAAATGATCACCATTTCTTGTTTTGGTTCTAGCACCCCCAGTACGCGGTGTAGGCCCTAAACTCTAAACCCTAAACCCTAGTTTAGTGAGGCACCTAGCTGGGTCATTGTTGCCTTAAAGGTTTGGGGATGAAGAAGTTCTGAGGAATCAGCATGGGGCTGAGCGCCTGTTTGGCTTGAACAGCAGCACAGGTTAGAACGCACTTTTTTGTTTGATCCCGGAATTTCTAGGCCCAGCTTTGGGTGATGTGTAGTGGTCGATCAGTCATCTATGTTCGTTTCGGCTTTGGACCAAATGTGTCTTGTTAGTCACTGGGAGGGAGAGCCAGAGAGAGACAGGTTGTTTATTTATTTAGATCAGTGTTCATAGTCCCCCTTAAGTAGATAGAATATAGTACATTATAGTCAGATCCCCATATACCCCATATTCTATCTACTGAAGGGGGACTATACGTTGGGCTTCAGGGTAGTGAACTGATGTGCTCGTTGTATGGCACTTCGAGCCTTCGGGGGTTTGAGGGACAGCGCCGGGCGTTGGGCTATGCTCTGGGGGGGGCCTCCGACCCTCTATCGCCTTGAGAAGAAGAAGAGGAGAGGGAGAGAGAGAGAGAGCGAGAGAGAGGGTTTCTGAATGTCATTATGCTTCACCCAATGAGGAACATGCAAATGCTTCTCGAATCGAATTCAAAAAAGGGACCAGCAAGCCCAAATCTTAACCCCAAAGTAATTGCGACAATGCACCTACCTGGCACTCAGGCATTCGTGGTGGAGATGAACGTCCCTTGGTGGTGCTCCACGGGTTTATGACACAACTCTTTTAATCTCCTGCAAGGGCCCAGTCTTTGCAGGCAATTCAAATGGAAAGATCGGGAACGTGGACGCGTATTTCTAATTGGAGTGCCGAAGGCACTTGTTGTTGACGAGGAATGTCATTCTCTTGAGAATGCGTGATAGCGTTGCGGGACTGTTGTGATCATTTTTGCGGCAGAACATGGGCGATGCTTGAGACATTATGATGTTCAACCGCCGGAAGAATCACGCAAGCTGATTGCAATTACTTTCGTGTCGTCCTAGCGACTCGGACGCTTGCAGTAGTCACTACAGACATGGGTCGCCCCACACAACAAGGAATTGCCCAACTCACTCGGATATAATCAGGATATTGGTGAATCTCAACCCTCAACCCTAAACATCCTTCAACCGGGGTCACCCATGATATAAGCACGGGCCATGAGGCCGGACCAGCATAACTTGCAGCGAAGCTGTGGCTCCCCAGAATAGCTCCAGTCTCCATAGCTGTTCTGAAAGGTTTAGGGTTTAGGGTTTAGGAGAGGGATCATAACATGAGTTTCTCACAGTATTCGGCTTACTGAGGTGCCCTTCATTAAGGGTGGATGTGGGGGTCCCTTTGGTAGTTTACTATCGTATATTGCCGAACAGGAATGTCCATTCATTCTGCGGAAATTAGTAGTTGCAGCTCAAGCTAGGACAATGCGTTCTTGCTATGGAACAGGCTTATGGAGTAGTGGGGTAATCCGCTCAGAGGGTAAAACAATTGGCCAACACCAAAGAAACGCTTAGACTAGAATCCTACTTGTAGAATCAATATTTCTCGTATTTTGTCCACAAGAGCATATTCTACCAATTAGGCCCCATTTTGCGCTGCCAGATTGGTGTTGGGTTGTGGTGTAGGCTAGATAGGGCAACAATGCTTAAAGCCTGAGTTATAAACGACTTGTTCATTATCTGAAATTCAGAGCATTAATCTCTTGCCATAGTCTGAAGTCTTAGTATCCCCCTGAATAACCGCGATAGCAGTCCCCTTTATAATCCCTTATATAACCCCTTTAAGGAGTTTAGATTATGGCTCATGTGATTTTGAGGCTTCTAGTCGAGGCTGGAGATGGATGGAGCTGACGGCACAGATTTTTCGCAGAATTACATCTGGGATCTCATGCTTAAATGGGTGCTTTGAGGAACCCTGGAGTTAGGTAATATATGATGGCCACCTGAAGAAGCACATAATAGCCCTATTGTAGCATAAGAATAGATTGCTATTAGTAGCATTGACCTTGTTGTTATTATCATTCTTAATATGGTGACTTCTATGACTGTAACTATTAGGGGGGTTGATTAACTTTGGTAGAGGGTGTAGGGCTGTGGGTCGCGGTGCCTTTGTCTTCTGATGCGAGCTTCGAGAGATCAACGATTTTATGGACGGATGCCTAGAACAGTAAAGTTACTTGCGAACCCACAGCAGGGAGTATAATGTAGAAAGCAAAATAGTATCCAACCCAGTTTCCATTGAAGTCTCCGCTTTCGTTTCCATCTGATTCTTCAGGACTGGGTAATATACCCATACCCTATATACCCCCACATACTTCCCATAGAATCTCTTCCTAATCCCAAAATAATCCCCGTATAAGCCATGTTTCGCCGCGAATGGCGGTTTGTTTGCGATCTATCACGTGTTATCGAACGTTGCTTGCACTGCCGGTTGTCTATGCCAACAGGAGCCCGGACTCCTTGAGGGACATATTGGGGTTTAGGATTTAGGATTTAGGGTTTAGGGTTTAGGATTTAGGGTTTTAGGGTTTAGGATTTATGGTTTAGGATTTAGGGTTTAGGGTTTAGGGGATATGAAGCCTAGATGCCCGTACATAAGCCCTTAAAACTCCCCTCTTTCATCCTTGTATAATTGCTCGCAGTATCCTGTGCGATCTAATTTTCAAATGCTTTTGAAATTGGGGTCTGGGAAGAAATGGTGCAACTCCAATCATTTTCATGGCAAGCTACGGGCGTTTTCAAGGATATTACAATCCTTGATTATAGGATGAAAGAAACTCTTCAGGAAGGGTGCCTTAAAATTTTGGGAACTCCACCCATATGCGCTAGAGTCTAAACTCCTAAAGGTTGTTATATAGGGGATTGTGTAGGGGACTATTATAGGAGAAATTAAGGGGGATCCTCATATACGCAACCTTGGCACTGCGGAATTCTGCAAGTCGTGGTCTCGCCACCATTCGGTGTGCACTTTCGGGTTCAGATTGGTCAAGGAACTTAAAATTAAGCTATATTATCCCCCTATAATGGAGAATCAAATGGAAAAGAAAATGGAAAATGAAATGGATACTGGGGGAATATAGGGATTTACGGAACTTAATTTAAGGTTGGGAAATCGTCGTGGGGCCAAGGCCTTCGGGCTCTCAGACACCGTGTCTTCCTGCGCAAATTTCAGTCCAGATTCGCAAATGATGCTCCTGCCCCTTTCCCCAATTCATTTAATTACACGCGTCCGGATGTAAAAGACTGTTGAAACTTCCTAACGACAGAGAAGATATCAAGGCAAGGGCCCGGTAAGAAACAGTAAGCATCATAATGTAGACCCATGATTAATAAATCGCCTCCTTTTAGGGGCCTTAATATTGGGA